GAAGTAAATTTCAATAACACAAGTTTTGGGACTTTTTTATTTAAAGGCAAACATATAGATTCTTATCTTCCACAATTAATTGAACATTACTTCTCCAACCTCTGCAGCAGAGAAAACACTTGATAATGATTTGTGTGTGATGCATCCCAGAGCCCTCAAAAGGCCGCCCAGCATTCCCAACCCTTGGCTGGCATGGTCCACTGTTCTGGGCAGTGGGGCACTATGCACAGCAGAAAGGAAAGGGTCTGGTTTTACAGCCTGCTCTCACCAACCCCATAGAGAACAGGCTAGAGATGTTTACATACACTACTAAGACAAGCTTTGTACCTTCCAGCAAACAGAGCTGCACCAAGGTAGGGAGAGAGTGAACTGAAGACAACTCCTTCAGACTACTCATGAGATGCTTCCAGGGATATCAGTGATACAGTAAGAGGCTCCCTGAGAACTAGCCCCCTCAGCATCCCTGAGAACTAGCCCTTTGGTATCTTCTCAGCCCCTCCACTGTATGGGAGGGGGTGGAATTTGCAATCTCTTCTATAAGCCCTAGCCTCAGACACCTGGCTGTCCCCCTCTCAGTTCTTCCAGGACTCACCAAGGCAATTGCTGTTAGAAGGACACCTGCTACCAGCTCCTGTCATTGCAGCAGGTCCCAGTCCATCAAGGATCAAGGTGCACAGGGACAGGCTGACTTCCCCCAGGGAAGGGCCACCTTCCCATTAAACCTGGGAATCTCATATGAGCTTGAACTCTCCCCTCACTCACTGCACTGCACGTTCCTCAGCAAGCAGACGTGGGTCGTGGACCAGCAGGTTCCATGTGGCTGAAGGAAGAGGCCACAGACAACCAGGCTGTTAAAGACCTGAGTCATTCATCAGCAGCTACATGTATAGTACAGTAATCCCATATCCAAAACCGCTGGGGCCAGAGGAGTTTCAGAATTCAGATTTTTTTTTTTAATTTTAGAAAGCTAGTGTAATACCCCCAGCAGAGTATGAGCAAGCATCCTATAAGCTCATTAGAATTTTTTGTGCCCAAACATGAATAGTCATACTAACCTTCTATCAAGTCAATCAAATTGGTTATGAAGAGAAACCTAGAGTCCTCAAGGATGGGGGATTTGGCATCATCTGGTTTACTTTCCTCCAGGAGATACTGAAATTCACTCAGAGACAAAGACCCACAGTGGGGAACAGACAAATGAGGCAACTGTCAAATCCCCAGGAGACATTCCCTGACTCAGGGGGCCCAGGGGACAGACTGATGAAGATGGGACCAGGCTTACTAAAAGAATCTCTGACACACTAAATGCCTCCTAAGCTGAGCTTCCCTGGCCCGAGAACCCAGAGAAAAATGCTTCCCTAGAGCTCTCCATATTTGGAAATTTGGTCTCCAGGACTCAGGCACCTGGCTCTAAGGATAGATCCAGTCATGGGCCACAGCAGGACCCCCTTGGCAGAAGCATACGGGTTTTCTCAGAGCCCTGAACCCTGTGTGCCAGCTGTTAGCTCCAGAGGGCAAATGATGCTTCAATCTTGATGCCTTTGAGAAACAGAAAAAAAATCTTCCAGCTGCCATCTCTCCTCTGCCCCTATAAAGGTCAGCATGGCCAGGAGCCATCTTCCACCCTGCTCCCTTCTAACTGTATCCACTCCCATGACCTCACCTGCCGTTATGCCCGTGACTCCCACAACTCTTAGTTCCATCCTCTCCAACTGTAACTCACATTTAAAAAAAGATATTATTTAAGTGTAGTTGACATGCAATGTTATATTAGTTTCAGATGCACAACACAGTTATTCAACAATTCTGTACACTATACTGTGTTCACCACAATAAGTATAGCTACCGTCTGCCTCCATATGATGCTATTATAATACATATTAACTGTGTTTTCCTATGCTATGTTTTTCATCTCTGTGACTTACTTATTTCATAACTGAAAGTTTGGGTTTCTTAATTCCCATCACCTATTTCGCCCATCCCCCAAACCCCTTTCCCCTGTGGCAACCACCAGTTTGTTCTCTGCATTTACAAGTCTATTTCTGGTTTTGTTTGTTTTTTTCAGATTCTACATATAAGTGAAATCTCATGGTATTTGCCCTTCTTTGTCTGAGTATTTCACCTCACATGATACCCTAAGTCCATCCATGTCATAAATAACAAGATGACTTTTTATGGCTAATATTCCGTTGTTTATATGTACTGTATCTTTTTATCCAACCATCTGTTGATGGACACTTAGGTCACTTCCATATCTTGGCAATTGTAAATAATGCTACCATGAACACAGGGGTACACCTACTTTTCCAACTAGTGTTTTCATTTTCTTTGGGTAAATTTCCAGTAGTGGATCATACGGTTTCTCTATTTTAATTTCTTGATGAAACTCTATGCTATTTTTCATAGTCTAACTCACATTTTTAACTGCCTCTTGGGCACCTCCAAGTTGCCCCATGTCCCCTCTCCTCCTGGGCCATAACCTACTAATATCTGTGTACTTCCCCACATCTTGCGACCCTGTACTTTTTTGGTCACATGACTCATTCTGGCCAGTGGAACATGAGCAGAAATCTTGTGTGGCACTTGTGCACCTCCCCGTGTTCTCATCCCCTCCCTTAGGCCAGGTCAGGACAGCAAAGAATCAAATAGAAACATACTAGGTCCTGGAGTCATTGCCTAGAAAAAGCCACTGGACCTGCACTGAACAGTGAGAAGAACAAACTTCTGTGGGGAAGAAAAACCCTGAGAGTTTAGAACGACCTGACAGAGCAGCTAGTGCTAATTACCCCCATATCCCTGCCTTTTCCACCTGGAAAGTTCCTACTTAATGCTCAAAACTCCAATTCCAGGGGCACCTACGTGGCTCAGTCAGTTAAGCGTCTGCCTTCGGCTCAGGTCGTGATCCCAGGGTCCTAGGATTGAGCCCCGCATCAGGCTCCCAGCTCAGTAGAGAGCCTACTTCTCCCTCTCCCTCTGCCTGCTGCTCTCCCTGCTTGTGCTCTGTCAAATAAATAAATAAAATCTTAAAAACAAAAAACAAAAAACAAACCTCCAATTCCAATGCCACCTCTTCTGTGAGATCCAACCTTTGTGGGAAGGCAGCCACTTTGTCTTGTGACCTCTAGCAATGCACTCACACACGTAGCACAACAGCTACCTCAGTCTGTGGACATGTTTCTGTTTGCATGTTGGCTCCTACATGTGTGTGCTTCACTTTTAATTCTCTAGTCTCAGTGCCTTGGAAGTAGCAAACACCTGATGTTTGATTTCCTGAAGCAAAGACTGGAGCCTTCTTGCTCATGTGACCAGCAAACCCCAAGTCAACATTTTCCCCCAAGTCACAGTGTTCTTGGCATCATGCTACATTGGGGGAGGCAAGAAAAGTAAGACACCACCGCCCATGATGAGGAGTGTTTTTTAATCTTCAGCTCTTCTGCACCCATTAGCTTCCATCTTTATTAAAGGACGGCTTCCACTTAAAAAGCACATTGTCGGGGCACCTGGGTGGCTCAATGGGTTAAAACCTCTGTCTTCGGCTCAGGTCATGATCTCACGGTCCTGGGATCAAGCCCCGAACTGGGCTCTCTGCTCAGTGGGGAGCCTGCTTCCCCCTCTCTCTCTGCCTGCCTCTCCACTTGTGATCTCTGCCTGTCAAATAAATAAAATCTAAAAAAAAAAAAAAAAAGCACATTGTCTCTTCAGGAACCACTGGCTAAGACATTTCTCAGAAGGCAAGATCAAAGAGAGGTTTGTGATGACGAGGAAAGCGTATGGGGGCTCTCCCGTGACCTCCATGAGCCTGGCTCCCCCAAGCTGCCACGCTTCAGACTTGTGATGTGGTATTCTGGGATCATGCAGCTATACCAGGGTTACATCCAGTACGAGAAAAGATGCAGTGAAAGCACCGCCAACCCCTCAGGGACCCAGATGTAGAGACGATAACCCAGCCATGTAGTCACGTCACTGCTGCTTAGCAAAACTTCACAAACCAGAGGCACAAAACCCCATCACTGGGCAGGGAAACAGAACAGGGAACCTTTGCTTTTCACCACCAGTGAACTGCCAACATGCATACCAGCAGCTCCCACTCTCCCGATTCTTCTAAGGCTGTGATAGAACTCCTAGCTCCAGCCCAAAGGAAGTGGGGCCCATCAATCAATGATGCTTGATTCTGAATGCAATTTTCATAGCAATTCCCAGAGACTAGCATTTGACCTGCTGCATGTGTGGCTTTGCTGTAGACACTGGGACATGCCACCTAATGCACAGTAAACCATGAGGCTGACCACTACTGCTGGCATCCCAGCGCTCAGACAGAAACGTCCACAACGAAGAGCCATGGCAAACCCAGGTGCCGTGGCCATAGCTGCAAGGGAGCACAGTGGGACTTCTAGGACCTTCCCTGGCAAGACACTCAGAGTGGAAATGAAGCAAGGTTAGACTCCGCAGTATACTGAAGGCTGGGATGATGAGGAAGGAAGATTGGGAGACATTTTAAAAACCAGAGGAGTGGGGCGCCTGGATGGCTCAGTGGGTTAAGCCTCTGCCTTCAGCTCAGGTCATGATCTCAGGGTCCTGGGATCGAGTCCCACATCGGGCTCTCCCTCTCAGCAGGGAGCCTGCTTCCCTTCCTCTCTCTCTCCCTGCCTCTCTGCCTACTTGTGATCTCTCTCTCTGTGTGTCAAATAAATAAATAAAGTCTTTAAAAACAAAACAAAACAAAACCAGAGGAGTAACTTAGCAGAAGGCAAAGGTAGAGTTTGGGAGAGTTGGGACAGTACCTTTTCAAGCTCACTGTCGCATGTGCTAGATAAGAGGTACAGCAAAGGAGGGGACCCTGAAAGATACAGCTCAACACAGGGCATTGTTTCTGGTTTGTATTTCAAGGGTCACATACCATGAACAGAACAAATAACACTTCCCCCTTAACTCATTCAAGGTACCAACAGCATACGCAGGAAACAAGAAATGGACGAAAACAGCGCCATCGGGCAACTTACCTTGTACGAAGATCCTGTTCCAGTAGATTTTTCCCACTTGGCTGCCCCCAAGAAACACCAGGTTGGACAGGATCAGCATGGAGGTGGAACAAGACGCAAGGGCGGCGTGAAATCGACGGCGGGCTTGTGGGGAGAGGAACTGGACCTGTGGGAAAAGACAGGAAGTGTCTCATCGAGGGGGCAGGAAAGCAGTGCTGAGGTGCCTCCTGGCCCTCGGCAGGCACCTGCCCAGGATACTCAACCCAGAGCCCAAGCAAGGCCGTGACTTCAGCTGTTCTTAAAACCTCTATTCCTGTGACAGGAACACTCTGGTCTAAGGAAAGTGGCGACAAACCCCCAACTTGTTCTTCCTCCTGCCCAACGGGCTCCCCCCTGATGTGTGTGACACAAGCACTGAAGCTAGCTCAGATGTGGCTGCAATGCCTCCACATGTTCTCTGTGTGCAGACCTGCAGGGCCGGGAGCGCTCCCTGACAACCTGCACAACTCCCTGTCATGAGGTCAAGATCAGGGTGATCTTCTGGGAAGCCACCCTGTCAATCCGACCCACCACTACGAGGGTGCAGGAGAATCAGCACAAGCCACTGTCCTTCTGGGAATCAGAGCTCAGGGGACATGGCCCATGGGGAGAGAACCTGCCACAGCATCCGAATATGCAGGAATTGGAGAGGAGGCTTCCAACACCGACGGTAAAGAACTCTGCTCATCCATCTGAGGTCTTCACTGTATTTTTTCCTCCCCTTTTAATGTCTTCTTGGGGATTGCATAAAGCAAGACAAGCCTTAATTTCTCGGCACTGACCGTTCTGCTGGCCCTAGTGCAGGAGATCGCAGTGCTGCACCCAGAGCGTGAGAGCATCGCCGGTATACCCCAGGCACTGTCCTCTGGGCCTGCACAAGCAGCCTGAGAACCAGGTACAGCGCAACCACCAGGCTGAAGGGCGCCAGGGTTTCTGACAAATGCCTCAGTCTAATCCAAAGACAGGGGAAAAAGAGGAAGCAAAGGGTCCACAGATCGTTCCTGAGTATCTTCCTGAAACTTACACATCTCTGGGGTCACTTGCATCCTGATTTCAGCTGTGCTCCAACTACAAATAAGAATCTGGGAGCACCTGGATGGCTCAGTCAGTTGAAACCAAAACTGAAACTCTTGGCTTCAGGTCAGGTCACGATCTCAGTGTTATAAGATCCAGCTCCGCCATACTCAGGGGGGCGTCTGCTGGATTCTCTCTCTCTCTCTCTCTCGCTCCCTCTGCCCCTCCTCTCCCAGCATCTACACGTTGTCTCTCAAATAAATAAATACACCTTTAAAAACAAACAGGTGAATTACCCAAATTCCTAATGGGCAAAAAGGATTAAGCTGAGGGTGTCTCCAGGAGGGGGCTTACTTAGTTCTGGCAACCCCACCGTCTGGGGCCACTTGTGTAAGTCTTGGTCAGTGTCCTACTGGAAACCTGGAGAAATGAATTTCTGACCCCCCTCCTTTTCTCTCTCCCACCAGTCGCAGCTTCTGTTCTCTGTGCAGAGACACCACTGCTACCACACATGTCCCCACCCATGACATTCTCTTCCAGCATCCCCTCAGAGTGTTTACTGCCACCGTATGTGACAGGGTGGCCTTCTCATGGATGAGCTGTGTCATGGGCACTGACTGAGTCATCTGCTTGGACATGATTATTCTAGAAAATTCTCAGGTGATGCTGACATGCCCCTGGGTAGAGGCTACCAGATAAGATGACCTCTAGTCTCTCCCTTGTCCTAAGAGGCCACAAGCACATACAGGAGATGCTGTCAAGCCAGACCAGATAAAAGATAGCTACACGGTATAAAAACTAGCAATGAAAGAGAAATGGGAATGCAGGCTTATAACTCAGCACTCTTCACCTCTGAGAATAAGGAGATATTAATCTACTGGTTTCTGCATCTTAGAGCAGGAGAAGACATTTTCTGGGTATTACTGACTCAATTAGCAGTAACTGGAGAGGCAGGGTGAGAGGAAGCAGGGAGATGGGGGGAAGTCCAGAATAATAAATCATGAAAATATAAATTGCTATAATTGGAATAACTGCATCCAAATAATTATCTCCATGTACAGGACCACTGATAACACGTTTGATTTCTAAGGTACCTGGTGAATCAGATGTTCTACCACCTCTATTCTAACCCCATCCATGTTCTCCAACCTTATATCCTGTTAGGGGAATTCAGAGGCCCCACACAATCTTTTCCATATTAATGTCAATGACAGAGAATGCACACAGCTTGGTTAAACTCAGAGTGGTTCTCCTTCTACAGGAAATGATTACAATAATTATTAAATAATCAACTGAGACATACCGAGACAGGAAAACACTCTTCGCACTGGACTTCTAAGCAGGATTGTGGTGCCAGGTGACCTGATGTGGGGCAAGAGCCAGGCTAGTTGGAGGAAGAGCTGAGAGGCAAGGGACAGAGCAAGGGAGGAGGCAAAGGGGAGAATGAGTGCATGAGACACAGAGCTCTTCTTTCCAGCACCAGGGGCCCTAGTTGCAACGGGACTTCCTTTGCTTCTGTGATTACTTGGCTACATGATTCAATAAATTGCAATTTCTGCTTAGGAAAAGAAGTCAAAATAATAACAAGTATGAAGGAGCCTCTGATCTCACAGACAAGGGAGGACATCTAAATCAGAAACAAAGGACTACAATTCAACTTTTATAAAGAGTTAATTTTGTAAAAAACTAAGCAAGAACATTAAAGGTGCAGGCTGTTGGAATCAATGAACTAGAAAGATACAAAGGAGAAACCAGACACTCACAGGCAGTTCTTGATCACCCCTAGGGTGAACAGGTGGGAGACAAAGTAGGTAATGATAAAGAAAATTCAAAATCCTGATTTAACTAATAGCCCCATCCTCTGAACTGACCAAATCAGCCTTGCCAACAAGCAGCAAACTTGACTGAGCATTACTTCTCTTCATTGTGAATCAGTGGCAAAGCATAATGATAGGCCACTAGGAGCAAAAAAAAAGGGGGGGGGCTGTGTGGATAACCCATGATTAATATTAATAGCAAAGGGGACATGAATCTCAGCTGTAATTCATATCTCCTTCGGATTCCCTGGATGCACCATGGAAAGTGGCAGTTTTGACACTGATGCTCTCCCTCTATGTTGGGAACCATCTGGCTTGGTTTATACTTTAGATTTAGGTTCCATACATAGGGGTGCTAGGAGGGAAAAAGTCACATGGGCAAGACAAAATCCATCAATAAATACAACTTTCTGAATGTCTAAGGACATAGGGCCAAGGATCCCACTTTAAAGTCTTGATTTCTTGTGCACACTCTCCTCTGCCATCCTGTGGCAATTGTCATCACTCCTGCGGTCCTTCACATCTATGATACAGGCTGTCTGTCCTACGTGCAGCGACCATGTTAGTCATGGTTGGGGTGCTTAAAGTCCCCCTTGGTAGGAAAACTTAAATGAGGGACTGTGAACCAAATGGAGAAATAAGTCAGTGTACAACGAAGAGTCGTCAGGCATAAAAAGAATTGCCAATTGACCAGATAAGGCAATAGTCAGTAAACAGATGTTGATTTTAACACAAATATAACAGAATAAAAAAGAACTCTGGTCTGGTCATGGTCCCCTTCCCAGAAGACAGATAAAGCCATGGCAGTCTGATACCCCAGCAGCAAAAACCTGGGAAGGGCATGGTCCCAGGAGATATTTAGAACTTGCTGAGAACTTTTAGTCGTCCCAAGGACATCAAAATTATGGCATGCCATTTGTGAGACAGAACTGTCCAGCCTAGAATGTCAATAGTGCCTCTTGAGTGTGGGTGAAGTGTTTGCTTCTACATTCATTATAAAGCCAACTTCCCTCTTGTTTTATGGGGGCACAGCACCTCACTTCCTCATTAGGAGCAATGCTAAAAATGTGCTCCCTTTCCTCTGGGGCCCAGAAAAGGCCATTCCAGGGCAGGGAAAGTGCTCTTCACAGTGCCCCAGTGTGAGCCAACCCCCCACCCCAGCCCACCCACTATCCCCAGCATCAAACCTGAGGAGGAGCTACTGTGCTTCTGACCACAGACGGGCAAGGTGTAGCCCCAGTTCCAAAGCTCGTCTCCCTCACACCACTCACACCCAGAGGAAAGAGGAATGAGAGGTGGAGCAGGTCAGAAAGTATGGCCTCCCATGCTGGGGTGACCAGTTCTCCCTCAGGGACTTTGACTTCAATGAAAGGTGTGTGTGGGGGGGATGTTACTCCATGTTAGTGTTGCTATAACCAATTCTTCAGTCCCAAGAGAAGGTACTGGATTTTGGGCCTGGATACAGCAGGCCCTTTAGAACACCTGGAAGTGGAGGCACAGAGTGGACCTCTAATTCCTCTCTGAGTTTGGGGTCTCTGATGGAAGAAACAAGAGGTGGGATGTGGGAATGCTGTATAAGGACAGTCTAGCAGCGCTTTAAACTTCTCTCTGAGACACTGGCTACCAAAGGCGAGGAACTGACCCAAACAAAGTAAACCTTAGGGCAGAACTAAATTGTCAAACTAGTTTGTATTTCCTGCTGTGAGGTGTCAGCTCCTGTGTTTATTCTTATCTCCATGGCAACTCATTTCTCTTCTCCAGTCAGCATTCTGTCCCTGGAAATCAGAGGACTTAGGCTGGGGCAAACAAGCTGGGTGCTGGGGTGGTGCGGTCCATGGAATCTGGGTCAGAAGTTACTCTCAGAAGGTGTGCAAGGGTGGGAGACAGAGGGTGCGGTGGGACTGCAGGCTGCTGTGCGAGGCGGGTCCCACACTCGTCCACAGAGGGACTGCATGTGGGGCCGAACTGGGAGGAGGGGACAGGCTGAGCATCTGGAGGAGCAGATGGGCTGGAGGAATGGCTGCTGGAGACTGACAAAGGCTTGGCAAGTAGGACCTGGTACTGTTTATTTTTAAATGGGGAAAAGCTAAAAAAAAGCAACTGGGTGGGTTTGAGCAGCTGGACACAGTTCTTCCATATAACCACTGAAGACTTTCATTTTCTAATAAAAATGGTAACCAGAGGATAAGAAAGGATGAATAAGGAAATGGCAAGGGGGATACTGATGGAGACCAGGAGGAGCAAATGAGGGTAGACAGCCCAGAGGCTGTAAAGATGAAACCAAAGACAACCAAAG